CAGGAAGTCAATTGGAAAGTGAATGACTGGAAACAGATAAAGGGACATTTCATCTAAAAATGTAAATTCTGTCATCATTTACTCACCCTCATATCATTCCAAACCTGTATGACCTTCTTTCTTCTACCGAATACAAAATAATTCATGTTAATTTATGAAGCAAATGCCATACATTTTCCCTAAATGTATTTGTTTTTAAATTGTTTTTGAGCAATGCAGTAATATTTTAAAGCTTTTAGTACAACATAATTTGCACATAAATTAATCAAAAGCTCCTCCAATGATTACAATAACTACTACATCTCGACTGCTTGATTAACAGAGCCCATGTATCATATTCACAATCTTTTGCAGAATTCAGTTTACACAGTATACATTTGAAAAATATGTAAGTACTTTAGGTTACACTTTATTTTACAGTATTACAGTGTATTTACCTAAGAAAGTACTGTGTAATATAAGGTAACTACATGGGTTAAGGTTAGGTTTAGGTTCAGAGTTAGTACTTATAACCCGGTTATTGTAATTGCTATACATAGTGTGTACACACGGAACAGGACTGTAAAATAAAGTGCTACCGTACTTTACTTATTTACGTACCTACTATACTTGCTTGCTTATAAATACCAGATTATAACGGGACACCCCTGAATTAAACAAGCGTACAATATGACAAACATAAAGAGGTCATGTTAGCATACTACTGTTTGAAATGATTATTGCAAAATGTTTAGTATTTCACATATTGTTCTCTGATGCAGTATGCCATTCTCTCATTCTGAAAATTATATTTGATAGAATACTACCATATGTTGAACCTGCTGATTTTGCTTCTTGATGATTATATTTACTCAACCACAGATTCAGGTGTAAAGTGATGGTGAATGTACAGTTACTGATAACGTTGTACATCACAGTAGGGTTTTTGAATGAGTCAGAGGTGATTGTGAACACTGTGTAATATGCTGCACAGAAATACACTGCGCTGTCATTCAGTCTGAGGCTGTTGATAGTCAGAGTGCCATTATTTCTTCCATTTCCATTCAATGTGATCTTGTCTTTAAATTCAGTCTCTTTGTTCTCATATTCATTATTCAGGTATCCCATGAGCCGAAGGTCCACGATGATCTGGCTTTGTTTGTACCACTGTATGACATCATAGCTTTGTACTTTGTGTGAACATTTGATCACTGCAAATTCATCTTGTTTCTTCAGGAGATCAGGAGGAGTCTGGACAACACTTTCACCAAGAATGGTGACTGTTGAAAGATATATGAATGCAGAAACTTTGTAAAAAGTAAATTCAGTGCTAATTCAATGGTACAGTGAATTAACAAAACAATATTAGTTGACAAATGATTACCTGCAAGACGCAGAACTAAAACATAGACACAAGGAGCATTACTCATGTTGTCTCTCTCTCTCTGCTGATCGACTCAACTATGAGTTTAAATGCAGGAGATGCAGGAAATGATGTCACAGACTGTGTCAGCTATACACTCTCTACCCGAGAAGAAACTCCAAATATATTTGTTAGCATCTGTAAAAATTGTGTTGATTTAATTGTATTTTGTGTCAAAACATTTTTCTTTTGTTTTGATATGTTTGACATGATTTGGACTCATCAAACAAGATGTGAATTCATTATATGACCTGTATAAGTTTTCCTATTGATATTCAGACCACACGACTGCTGCCAGCATGTGTGCATCAGCGGAAACCATCAGCGATCTCTTGAGCAGGTGCAGAAGCTCTGCAGTGGTTAATAATTCGGCTGCTTTCAGAGTTTTTGTATTGTGTCATGACTGCACATCACACCGTGTAAACTCGCAGCGCAGAAATACAGCGCACTGTCACTCAGAGCAAGATTATTGATTTTTAAGGATCCATTCTTGGTTCCGTCACCATTCAAACTGATTTTAGTTTTAAAATTGTCCTCTGGAAAGTAATTTTTATTCCAGATATATCCCAGTAATGTAAATTCATGTCCACGTGTTTGTTTGTACCAGAAGATCATAGTGTATGATGTGATGCTGTGTGTGCAGACAAATTCTGCAGAATCTCTCTCGGTTTTAATAAGATTTGAGGGACTTTGTTGAACACTGCCATTGACAACAGAACCTGTGAAAAGAAGCAACAATAGTAAATGGTGTAAGAGCACATTGCATTACTGAACAACTCCCTTTAAACTCATATTTTATATGATCAAATATTTACCTGTAAGCCAAAGTAGCGAGACAAAGAGGACTCTGATCATGTTGATATAGACTGGAGAAATATTGTGAGTGAAGAAAAATAAAGTTTGGTTTGATATAATTCCTCATCCCCTTTTAGCGTTGCAACATGATCATGCCTTTAGTCTAGTATGGACCCTCAGCGCCTCCTATCCACAGCTCTTGTGATTACAACAATTCCCTGCCATGCATTTAGACTGAAAGAAGTGTAAAAATGAAAATGTTAAAATGTTTGTTTGCATGTTTCTGAATACTTGAATCAGATTTTTACAAGAACAAAGAAACAATTACCATGATGAACTGAAAAATAAGAATGAAAAAAAGGTTTCAAATGTATTTATACTTTTGAAACCTTTGATAAAATGTCAATGATATATAAATAATAGGGGAGAGAGGGTAAGTTGAGCCAGTATTTACTTTATTTACATACATTTTTGAATGTGTTGCATCTCTGGGATTAATCACTTTGGATTTAAAATAAACTATGGAATTTTGGGTGTAAATTGTGCCAAATATTACGTTAAAGTAAACCTTAAAATGTGTAGTCAGTTAATGTCGTAGCAGGCCTAGTCTGCCGATCATGTTACATGTCCATCATTGAAGCAAGAATACTTTACTTCTGTGTTTTATAACTGGTACGAAATCAAACCCCACAGGTCCAGGTGTAGTGTCAGTGAATTTGCAGCCACTGATAAGCTGAAGCTTTAGTATCACAGGTTTTTGTATGAGTCAGAGGTGATTGTGAACACTGTGTAATATGCTGCACAGAAATACACTGCGCTGTCATTCAGTCTGAGGCTGTTGATAGTCAAAGTGCCATTATTTCTTCCATCTCCGCTCAGTTTGATCTTGTTTTTAAATTCAGACTCCGCGTTGTCATATTCAAGATTAAGGTATCCCATGAACTTAAAGCCCATGTCCTTTTTGTACCAAAGAATACGCTCATAATTCATTATATTGTGTGCACATTTGATCACAGCAGATTCCTCATGGTTCTTGATGAGGTCACCAGGAGACTGGAGAACAGTTTCACCAAGACAGACGGCTGTAATCGAGAGAAAATACATCTATGTTATCAGTCTATAAACAAGTTCACATCATAAAAATTATTACAATTAATAACTAAAAAGGTTCCATATGGTCACCTGTGAGGCACACTAGAGAAACACAAACACTTGGAAGAATACTAGTCATCTTTGCTTTATGCTTTTGGGGACAATGCTGTGCATTAAATGCAGGAAGACACTTCTAATAGGAAATGATGTCATCTCAGTGGGAACTGACAACAAGCTGCTGAGGTATACAGTAGGGAAAAGTAGGAGTTAACATATTGTTTAACATTAAAAGGTTCTCTTTTTATTATCCACGCCATAATAATTCTTACAATATAATTAAAATATGCACATTTTTCGATGATTTAGTATTAACAGAGAAATGGCTCCCTCTATCTTTCAGGGATGCTGAGTTTAAAACTTGTGTCGGGGTTGCCAGGTCTGCGTAACGAAACTAGCCCAAAAGTAACCCAATGACCACATACCAAATATCAAACCTCAAAATATGTCATTCCCATACCTAAAATACATATTTTACTGTCACACTGCAATGCAAACTGAAAACCGCTATGATCATAAACACAGCTCAAATGCTCCCTACCAGTGCCCTTCCTTCACAAAACTTCACATCTAGCACAGTTTTATCAATATAAAATATCGCAATACAAGCATTTCAGTCAAATATAATGCAATATGTCAAACCTTTAACCCCTAGGGGGAAAAATGTAGCGATTTTGGCAACCCTGGCTTGTGTATCAACTTAATTGACTGCATGAGGTCAACATGTGGTGGACCTTGTTACTCACACTTGGATTTACTCAAACATTCTTAGAAATAAGACTCTACAGAACATCTCAACTCAATATTGGCAGCAAATCAAACCCTGAGTCTTTTGCAGGTGAGGCAGAGCTGTGGTGAGTCCTGTTACAGTAACAGGTAACAGCTTTTTGTATTAAGATTTGGCTGTGTATATCAGTGTGTAATATGCTGCACAGAAATACACTGCGCTGTCATTCAGCGTGAGCTTCTTGATAGTCAGAGTGCCATTTTTCTTTGCATCTCCTTCCAGTTTGATCTTGTTTTCAAATTTAGGTTCTTTGTTTTCTTGGTTAAAATTAAGGTATCCCATCAGCGTGAGGCCAGACGTGTCTCGACTCTGTTTGTACCACAGCATTCGGTTGTAGTCTTGTATATTGTGAGCACATATGAAAACAGCCGATTCATCTTGGTTCTTCATGAGGTCATCGGGACTCTGGAGAACCGGTTTTGCATGATTTTCCGCTGTGCATGGAGAGAGATAATACTGTTTGCAGTGAGAAGTAATGTTTTGAAATAAAATTATATAAATAACCTTTACATGAAAGTTTATCACTATTTGCACAACATCATATTTGTACTATTACCTGTTAGCCACAATAGACATACATATATGCTAAGTAAAAAGTTCATCATGCCAGCTCTTTCTACTAAACTGAGTTCTTCTGCTATGAAGTAAAGGCACAAGAGGAAGTGATGTCAACCATAGGCTGCACACACAGATGTTTTCCTGTCATAGATCAGTCCACTGTAGGCTCAAATTTATCCTGTCTAAAATTCTTCTAACATTGTTGCACTTCATCATAGTTCTATCCATCATCAAAACTTAACAGCAATTAATACTGTCACGAACTAAAATCCTTTAGATTTTTTTTTTAAACAACATATTTGCTTTAAGACTAGACCTATTGTGCTGAGAATTGGCACTGAATCAGAATCCAGAGATGTGGGGAGAAACATAGATATGCATTTCACAGAAACAAGCCGTTTAAAAGAGGAGGTTTTTGTATGAGTCAGAGGTGATTGTGAACACTGTGTAATATGCTGCACAGAAATACACTGCGCTGTCATTCAGTCTGAGGCTGTTGATAGTCAAAGTGCCATTTTTATCTCCATCTCCCTCCAGTTTGATCTTGTTTGTGAATTCAGACTCTTTAGTCTCAGCCTTATAATAAAGGTATCCCATTAACTTGAGTCCCGACGTGTCCTGACTTTGTTTGTACCATAATATTTGGTTATAGCTCGGTATTTTGTGAGCACATATGATCACAGCAGATTCATCTTGATTCTTGATGAGGTTATCTGGCGTCTGATCCACAGTTTTACCAAGACATGCAGCTGTGGAGAAACAAAAAAACGGTTGTGTACAGTAATGTTTAGACTAAAACAACCTGTATGATATTGAAGTAAATTATCAAGTGCATATTTGTTTATTTTTACCTGTAAGTATCATTAGAGATAGAGATATGCTATCAAACATGTCCATCATGGTTTCTTTCACTGAGTTTTTCTGCTGTGAATCAAAGCCACATGCAGGAGGAAGTGATGTCAGCTATACCGGATCCTAACCGGTGTAACCTGAGAGAAATAAAGGGATAAAATGGGGAACAAAATGAGTTGAACTGTACACTGTTAGAGAAGGGGGACTTTAATGAAGTTCATGATCATTCATTAAAATCAATTATTTAAGCATCACTATGTGCAAACAGAGACATTTACTTTGCAATGTGAGTAGACTGGAAATGGCCAAAAGAACCACACTGCCCCCTGTTGATCAGTATTCATCTCTTATTTTAATCCACCTGTTTTTGTACAGCTCTGCCCAGAGTTTCGTTCACTGTGTTTTCACTCACTGAACAGAAATATATGGCGCTGTCATCCGGCTGCAAATCCTTCACAGTCAGAGATCCACTCTCGGGAACCGTTTTACTGGCCACAAATTTATTTTTCTCCGAATCTTCATATTCTGGATCGGTGTAAGAGGTAGTGAACACTACGAGCCTCATAGTCTCTCCTGTACGCTGGCGGTACCAGTACATCTGTCTGTAGGTTGAACCCTTATTGTGTGTGCAGTTGATTTGGGCTGAACTCCCTTTTAGTGCATGAAGAATTTTAGGCTCTTGAACAACATCATCTCCTCCCATAGTGCCTGTGGAAAAAATTTAAATTGAATTGGTAAGAATATAAGGTTATTGTTTCAGCTGTTATGGAAATAATTTAAAAAAAGCTTTTGGTACCTTGGCTCCAGTACAGTATCAGAATCAATGAAATAATGTTCCTAGTCATGTTGGGTTTTGGTGGGGTGAGAGTGAGTCCCAGCCTTTGATACAAACTCTAGCTGTTGTTGAACAGGATATGACATCATAGGTCGAGCCCATTCTCATCCCAAGGCGTCATACATGTGACGCTTTGGACATTTCGTCTAAATCCGACGCACATGGCATCCTTTAGCGTCAATATGAGACGCAGATCCCAAGGCCTCATAACCGTAACCCGACCCCAGACCTAAACCTACCCATAACAGTGTGTGTTATATTGACGCTAAAGGATGCCATGTGCGTAAGATTTCGACGAAATGTCATATGGAGTCAATATATGACGCCAAAGGATGAGAATGTGTTGCATAGGTCATAACACGTTACAGGGGGAAAAGTTGTATAAACCTGAAATATGAACAGTTAAGTGCAAACACCAGCCCGCAGCTGATTTGCTGAGTGTATACTCTTAATTCATATTTCATTACCTCTCGAAGGAGTCCCTTATAGCTTTAACATGATGGCCAAGAAACTACAACACTAGCTAATGGTGCCAGGTGGCTCGTTGTGTATTGGTGGTCCACAAATTTTGGATTTCGCTTGGCCATTAGTCTGTGTTTGATGCCAGTATGTTAAATTTAACTGCGAAAGAGATTGCTTCAACTGTCATAATTAGGCATGCACCGATAATAACCGATAATACTTTATATTTGAAAGCCGATAACCAATATATTGGCAGATAAATCTAAATCCAAATTTTTATAGGATTTTGAGAGACTGATTAAAAAATAAAAATAAAAGTCTCACCATTAAAGCCATGTCGCAAGCACATAATTATAACGTTTTCATTATAATTTCATGTAGCCTAAATGACTTGCGCTGCACATGTAGCACTTAATTATTTTTTCCGAAGTGATTCCAATCATATTTCAAGCTATTCAAAACCATCATGGTGACCAGTGCACATCTGAAGTGTCCCAACTTTATAAAACCATGTCAAATTGAAGAGACGTACACATAACATGTATTGTGGGTAACGTTAACAGGCTTACTGTGAGCACGTGACAGTGAAAACATTACGATTATTTTAACTGAATTAAAATGGAAAAACAATGAGTAATTAACAAGCTTTCAGAACGAACATGGTACAGTTTATTGTGCTGTAAGTAAGTCAACACAGGCTTAGCCTATCATGCAACAGCTCCGTTAAATGAACCGTAGTATTTCATTTTCCAGCATTAGAGGCTAATATATGATGGCTATGCATTCAAGACTGTTTAGCAAATCACCAGCACGTTGGCAACGTTAACTTTCCAATGAAATGCATCACAATTGTTTTTAAAGTTAAACAAATAAAAATTGATTCGCATTTGATACTCACACTCTGAATGTCATCCATTTTCGCTGGTCCTCTAATTCGGTAGGTGGCGTTGTCACTAAAAACCTAGGGTCCTAGAAATGCGGTCCTAGAAGTGGGGTCCTGAAAATGCAGCCTCCGGGACTGCAGGCAGATGCTACTCTGATTGTGCAACAGGCTCCGCAGAGTAGCTATTCTCCCATTTGACAAGTTCAAGGGTTCGTAAAAAAAGATTGGTGCATTAAAACCTGCCAGAAATTTCCTAATTTAATATCCTGATTATAAAACCCTAATGTTTGCTTTAATGCACCTTCTATTGTGTCAAAGAAACCATGTGTAAAATGGACTCATGACGCATAACGGTTGTTATGATCCTGTACCAAATGGCACTTCATATGCACTTGCGGTTTTGTGGACTCACAATGGCGCCACTAACGCATGATCGTGAAGTCCACGAGACCGTAGGGCAGTGTTTCCCAGCCCTGTTCCTGGAGGCACACCAACACTACACAGTTTCAAAGTCTTCCTTATCGAACACATCTGATTCAACTCATCAGCTCATTAGTAAAGACTCCAAGACCAGACAAATATAATTGAGTTTTAAAGATTAGTGAGACATCCAAAATGTGTACTGTTGGTGTGCCTCCAGGAATAGGAAACACTGCCGTATGTCACATTTGTCATGTTAGGTGCTCGTGAGCGCCCCCTTGTGGTCGCACCATTAAATGTACTGGAGAAATGCTGACTCTGCTCATTCTAAAACAACCACTGACAGACTCAATATAATGATAGTTATGATCATATTTTTGACTGGCTGGGTTGATCCGTGCTGCTAAAGCATCTGTCTTCATTATGTGTCCTGAAAGCCCTCGTGTCCAGGTGCAGAGTGACAGTGACTGAAGCTTTGGTATCACAGGTTTTTGTGTGAGTCAGAGGTGATTGTGAACACTGTGTAATATGCTGCACAGAAATACACTGCGCTGTCATTCAGTCTGAGGCTGTTGATAGTCAGAGTGCCATTATTTCTTCCATCTCCGCTCATTTTGATCTTGTTTTCAAATTCAGACTCGGGGTTCTCATTTTCATATAAAAGATATCCAATGTACTTAAAGTCTAGTGTGCTCTGGCTTTGTTTGTACCATAATATTCGGTCATAGTTCTGTATTTTGTGTGCACACATGATCACAGCAGATTCATCTTGATTCTTGATGAAGTCACCGGGAGACTGGAGAACAGTTTCACCAAGACAGACGGCTGTAATGAGAAAATACAAACAGTAAATTCTGTTAGACTGTTGCAGCAGAAACAATAAAGTTGTTTAAAAATATTCCATTAGATCGGATTACCTGTGAGGCAAACTAGAGAAACATAAACACTGCGAAGAACGCTAGTCATGTTTGCTTCATGTGCTGGGAGAGGATTCTTCAAATGAAATGCAGGAGTGCACTTGTAGGAAGTGATGTCATTTCTGGGACACTCACAAGCATATATACATGTATACAGAGATAAGTACAGTACGTGAGTGGCATAGTGGACATTCTAAAAATACATTTAAAGAGAAAAAAATATAATTAAGATGAATAAATTTAATATTGATGGCTTGTTCTGATTTAAGACATTCGACCCCATGCAGTAAAACTATTCACTGTTGAAAGCCTGTGACCAGTTCAAAGAAAAGCATGATAAGCACTGGTTCATGTGAGTCAGTTCAGTTGCACTACAGCAAATTTATATGAACAAGCTCCAGATTTGTAGAGTCACATCGCCCCCTGTTGATCACTGTCATTATTAGCGGAAGCTGTTCTTGATGAACTCTTGTTAAAGTTCACTTCACTGTTCTGTGTGACCGAGCCGAGATACACGGCACTATCATCTGACTCCACATTGTTCACAGTCAGAGATCCTCTCTCGGGAACTGGTTTATTGGCTGTGAATTTGACTGGATCAGAATCTCCATAGTCTGGATCGCTCACAGAACTTGTGAACACAATAAGAGTCATAGTTTGTCCTCGCCGTTGTCGATACCAGTACATCTGAGTGAATGTAATATCCTTTTTGTGTGTGCAGTTCATTTGAGCAGAACTCCCCTTCACTGCCATTAAAACACCTGGACTTTGTGAAACATCACTGGTACCTGGATTTGAAACAGAGAGAAAAATATAAATATTTCTGAATATTTCAAGAAGTTATTATTCTAATATGATCGTGAGTACCTTGGCTCCAGTGACAGAATGAACAGAATAATGCTCCTCATCATGTCACGGTGAGGCTGGATGAGTTAAAGTCGACATCAAGCGGAAGTTGCGATGGGCTTTTCTTCTCTATTGTGACGTATATCCATATGAGACGGCTTCTCAAACAAGAAGAAGTGTGGGCAGGGACGTGATTTTGTCCATCGGGAGTCCTCACGCTATCGAACATCATCAGAGAAGAGAGGAAATGTAAAGGAGGGAGGGGAAGTTATTTTGATTATGAGAGCACATGAATTGTGCACAGATAAATCATTTATAATAAATACTGCATCAGGGCCGCCGCTCTGCAGGGGGTCACACTGTAAAAAAAAAAAAAAAAGTTACATTTACAGGAAAACCCTGGCAGCTGTGGTTACCAGAGTTTTCCTGTTAAAAATACTGTAGCAACGTTTTAGGTTTTACAGACTTTTAACCGTATATAATTTTACAGCAATAAACCGTATTTCATTATATGATATAATGTTAATTTACTGACCTTTTGAAGTATTAATATCTGTTTTTTTTCCATTGTAATACACTGACAACCAACAATCACAGCAGAGATGAGAGTCAAATGGTCATCCAAAGCTCATCATAAACAGCTCTTCCACATGAAAGTTAATACTAATATACAGAAGCTGCACAGTCTCATTCACACAAACATTAAACACCATCATGGTAACATGTTGAAATTTAAAAAATGCATTAATTTAACAACATTCAATGTAACATAAAACCCTAATGTACATAACTGATTAGAAAAAAAACTAAGAAAATTATGAAGAAACAGTTATTTAAAAACAAAATACATCAAATGTGAAGTGTCACGCAGGGAATTGTGGGAATGTCAATTTACATTTTTTCCACTGTAAATGATACAATGACTTGTACTTTTTCACTTCCAAAAACTGTAAATTTAACGGTATTTTACAGTAAAATTACATTAAATGTACCATTATATATATCACAGTTATTTACCGTATATAGTAAGGAAACTTTCTGTTAACCAATTAACAGTTTTTCACTGTAGCATTTTTACAGTGTTTTACCGTTAAAATCACGATCATTGAAAAAGCGGTACAAAGACCAACTAAAAACATCACTAGGAAAGTGTCAAATTAATCCATCATGCCTTGAAGAATTTGCAGCAAACCGATCTACCTGGAAGCAGCTCTGCCACACTGGAATCTGAGAGGAATATAAGGAAACAACAAAAAAGACTACGGAGACATGCAACCATGCCTGCCTCTACAAACTCAGCCTTTACATGCCCAATATGTAATAAAATTTGTGGATCAAGGATTGGACTCTACAGTCATGAAAGAGTACACCGTAAATGAAGTGGAATGTCATCATCGGAGATACGATGGACTATCAAGAGAGAGGTCGTGGTGATCTCAGGCTGTGGCAAAATTCAGAATTTAAGAATTAGCTTCAGCTCCTGAATTGTGAATTGAATTGACCACATGCCAGAGAATGTTAAGCAACCTTTTAAAGGTGCTCTAAGTGATGTCGGGTGACGTCACTTCTTGTTGACGTTTAAAGTATTGTCAAACAAAGCGGAGGCTAGCTAGACCCTCCCTCCTCCTCCTCCTCCTCCTCCTCCTCCTCCACGCACCAACCCCCAAAATCCCTCTGGTCGGTTATTGGCTGGAACAGTCGTGGTGCGGGTTTTGTTGCCGTTTGTGGAGCCTGGGGTGTCTGCAGAGACTGCGTTTTTACAGTGTGTTCAGGGGACAGGCAGTTAGCAGATAGTGAGGAGATGTTTGCTGTATTTGACAAAAAAAATGTTTTGGCCTAAAAAACGTGTGACATCACTTAGAGCACCTTTAAGTAAGACTAGACTTACAGGTATTGTGTTTAGTCTGGCACTGAATCAGAATCCACAGGTGTGAAGAGGAACGTGAATAAAAACTCTTGCCACAGAAACAGGAGGTTTAAAAGAGGAGGTTTTTGTATGAGTCAGAGGTGATTGTGAACACTGTGTAATATGCTGCACAGAAATACACTGCGCTGTCATTCAGTCTGAGGCTGTTGATAGACAAATTGCCTTTTTTTTGTGCATCTCCTTCCAATTTGATCTTGTTTGTGAATTCAGACTCTTTAGTCTCATCCTTAAAATAAAGGTATCCCATTAACTTGAGTCCCGACGTGTCCTGACTTTGTTTGTACCACAGGATTTGGTTGTAGCTCGGTATATCGTGAGCACATATGATCACAGCAGATTCATCTTGATTCTTGATGAGGTTATCTGGCGTCTGATCCACAGTTTTACCAAGACATGCAGCTGTGGAGAAAAAGATTGTTTGTTTATAATCATGTTTAGGCTCAAATAATCTGTACATTGTGTAAGTAAAGATTTAACAAGTGCATATTTGTTTATTTTTACCTGTCAACATCAATAGAGATACAGATACACTAAGTAAAGTGTTCATCATTGGTTTCATCAAGTGTTTCTGCTGTGAATCAAAGGCACATGCAGGAGGAAGTGATGTCAGCTATATTAGTTCCTGTAACCTGAGAGAAAAGAGTAATAACATGAGGACAATATTGATTCAGTTTCCACAGAAAGAGTTGTGCATAAATAGCAGGACTGATATGCAAATCACAATGATAATGTAGTTTATTTGTTATATATGCAAACAGACAGATTAATTTTGCATTGCAAATTGGCTGACATTTTCTGAAACACACTGCCCTCTGCCTGTCGATAGTTGTGTCTTTTAAAACCCTTAAAAAACTAGTGTACAATTTCCCTTACAGTTTGATACATTGTCCTCGCTAAGTGAACAGAAATACTTTATGGCACTGTCATCCAGCTTCTGTCGTGTGTGTGTGTGTGTGTGTGTGTGTGTGTGTGTGTGTGTGTGTGTGTGTGTGTGTGTGTGTGTGTGTGTGTGTGTGTGTGTGTGTGTGTGTGTGTGTGTGTGTGTGGCTTGGTGAACCCTACATTATGGGGACAAAATGTCCCCACAAACTTGGCAATATTCGAAATCCTTGTCCTTGTGGGGGCATTTTTAACCTAATGAGTAAAACAGCTTATAAATCATAAGTAAAACTAATGTTTATCTGCATTTTGCAACATTTTTGAAAATGTAAAAATGCAGAATGTTTTCTGTGATGGGTAGGTTTAGTGTTAGGAGATATAATATACAGTTTGTACAGTATAAAAATCATTTTGACTCCCAATAAAACATCAAAACACAACATGTTTTTTGCTTGTCATTGTATTTCTTAAATGACCACTCACTGTCTGAGGAAAACACACTGCGATTACTTCAGATTTCTTTGGCTGTTTTGGCTGAAATATATCAATTATTATTTAAATAAATGAAGTTTTTGTAAAGAAAAACTATCTCAAAGATATGTTTATATGACGTAGTATTAAACAAACCTTGTTCTAATGTCAGTTTGATATGATGTGTTCAGTACAGCTTCATGTATTAATGATGTTAAACATAAACAGAATTTCCAATTTTTTGCATTAAGAAACATTAGTTTACACGTGTGAATGTAATCTTAAATCAGTTGTTGGTAAATGTTGGCAGGAAATAAAACCACCTCCATCTGGAGGAGAAACACAACTCGGTTCCATCTAATCTCAGAATAACTTTTAAATGAGTAAATTAACATTTCCTTCATTGGTAACACTTTATAATAACTACACGCTAATAATCATTAGTTAAGCATGAGTAAACAGTTAATTCATCATTTATAAAGCATTAATAGACATTAATAAGCAGTTTATAATACAGCTATAAATGCTCTCTTCTTGATTTACAAGCATATCTATAATTTATTTAATAATTGTATTTTCATCCTTTATTAATGATCAATTTATTATTTCTAAATGAATAATTGCATTTTTTATAAACCAGTTATTTAAGAGTTTTCAGTGGTTCATAAGATTACTTAGAACGTGTAAGTAAATGATTAATAAACTATTTAAATCTACATTCATACATCTTATTATTCAGACATATAGTGATGGTTACTTATTGTGTTAATAAATGCTTTATTAACATGTATTTAAGCTGTAATTCAGGGTTAATTCGGGTAGTTATAAAGCATTTAGTAGTGGTCAGTTAACTATGTTTGTGAGCTCATCTAAAGTGAGGACTATTCATTCCTTGTAAAGCATTTATAAAGGAGATTTAAAGGCTGTTAAATATTTCTATGTACTGTATCACTGTGTTGTGTTTGTTACATTTTACTGTTTAGAAGATTGATGCGCCTTCAAATCTCCTTTATAAATGCTTTACAAGGCATGAATAGTCCTCACTTTAGATGAGCTCACAAAATAGTTAACTGACCACTACTAAATGCTTTATAACTACCTGTATTTACTACATTTACTTATACTTTCTAAGTGATCTTATGAATGACTGACAACTCTTAAATAACTGGTTTGTAAATAATGCTATACTTCATTTAGAAATTATTAATTGATCATTAACAAAGTATGAAAATACAATTATTAAACGCATTATAGATATGCTTATAAATCAAGAAAAAAAGCGTTTATAGCTGTATTTATAAACTGCTTATTAATGTCTATTAATGCTTTATAAATGATGAATTAACTGTTTACTCATGCTTAACTAATGATTAATAGCATGCAGTTATTATAAAGTGTTACCAATTCGTTAAATTACACAACAAAATATCCCAATAATGTTAATCTCTGGTCAATGTTGATACTGTGTTGTATCAAACCTCAAGCTCTGCAGACCCAGTTGACCAACAGTATAGACGTTTACATTTCTGACAACACACTCTTTTACAAACTAAAGGTTGAAGTTATTTTCTGTGATAATGAAGCATGTAATTAATGCTGTTAATAACTTCTATTCAACCCATAATACTCCTAATTGTTTCGGCTTATCTCAGCTGTTGTCATGCATTATATTGCTTGTCTCAGACTGCCACCTGTTGACTAACACTGTCATTAATATTTCATAAACTGGATGTTTTTGTACAGGTTTCTGCAGACTTTCACACACTGTGTTGACTCACTGAACAGAAATATATGGCACCGTCTTCCGGCTCTAGATCTTTCACTGTGAGAGATCCACTTTCAGCATCACTTTTATGAGCTTCAAATTTATTCTCATCAACATCTCCAAATTCTGGCTTTGAGTTAGCGACGGTGAATACTATAAGCCTCATAGTCTCTCCGGGACGCTGGCGGTACCAGTACATCTGGTAGTATGAAATGCCCTTCTTGTGTGAGCAGTTCATATCAGCAGAACTCGCCTTTGGTTTCCAAAGAATTTTAGGCTCTTGAACAACATCATCCCCACCCAAAGTTCCTGTGGAAAAAATTTAAATACATTTGTAAGATTATAAGGTTATTGTTTCAGTTGCAATGGAGACATTGTTAAAGAGTGCCACATACCTTGGCTCCAGCGCAGGAACAGAATCAGGGAAATAATGTTTCTAGTCATGTTGAGTTTTGGTGGAGCGCACAGTGAGTCCCAACCCTTCAAATGATTCAAACTCGAGCTGCTGTTGAACAGGATATGACATCATAGGTTGTATCAGTAATGAACAAAACTGCATGAACATGGAATATGTATATTATTACTAAAATATCTGATGATTTATACAATCTCTTAATAATACAAATATGTGGTACTCAGAGTCTTCAAATGAAGCGTTTATGGCATTATTAAACTATATGAATAAATCCCATCTCTCTTTGAAATCCATAGACCAAAAGGTTTTAGTCTAATAAACTGTCCCTTACAAGTAAACTTCAAGTTTTAATACAGGATGTGACATCATGATCATGGTAGTGGTGATCTCAGGGAGGGGCAAAATTCAGAAATTCAGAATTAGCTTCAGCTCCTGAATTGTGATGTAAACTGAATTAAGCAACACTTACAGGTATTGTGTTTAGTCTGGCACTGAATCAGAATCCACAGGTGTGAAGAGGAACGTGAATAAAAACTCTTGCCACAGAAACAGGAGGTTTAAAAGAGGAGGTTTTTGTATGAGTCAGAGGTGATTGTGAACACTGTGTAATATGCTGCACAGAAATACACTGCGCTGTCATTCAGCGTGAGCTTCTTGATAGTCAAACTGCCATTTTTTTGTGCATCTCCTTCCAATTTGATCTTGTTTTTAAATTCAGTCTCTTTAGTTTCATCCTTAAAATAAAGGTATCCCATTAACTTGAGTCCCGACGTGTCCTGACTTTGTTTGTACCATAATATTCGGTCATAGCTCTGTATTTTGTGTGCACATATGATCACAGCAGATTCATCTTGATTCTTGATGAAGTCACCGGGAGACTGGAGAACAGTTTTACCAAGACAGACGGCTGTAATGAGAGAATACAAACAGTAAATTCTGTTAGACTGTAGAATCAGAAACAATAAAGTTGTTTAAAAATATTCCATTAGATCGGATTACCTGTGAGGCAAACTAGAGAAACATAAACACTGAGAGGAACGCTAGTCATGTTTGCTTCATGTGCTGGGAGAGGATTCTTCAAATGAAATTCAGGAGTGCACTTGTAGGAAGTGATGTCATTTCTGGGACACTGACAAGCATATATACATGTATACAGAGACAAGTACAGTACGTGAGTGGCATAGTGGACATTCTAAAAATACATTTAAAGAGAAAAAAATATAATTAAGATGAATAAATTTTACATTGATGGCTTGTTCTGATTTAAGGACTTCCTCAACTCCTCAGATGTTCATTAAATGTTTATTAAAAATGTGTGTGCTCTATACATGTGTTCAGCTTGGATCAGGTGTCTGTTAAGAGTAAAAGACTCCTGCAAAATTCCTTGAACTGTTTAAACTTTGGTGTTTAGCTAAATAAATTTTGGTCTTAGATTTTATAAGTAGAAAAATACTGAGACCAATATTAAAAGCTGACAGGAAGATGTCACCATGTAGCAAAAAAACTCAATGTAATTGTTTCTGCTGTTGCAGTCTTCATGTGAGTCGTGTGAGTCAGTTATAGCGAGTCTGGATGAACATTGATGGAAACACATCGCCCTCTGTTGATCACTGTTACTGGAATTATTTATGGCAGCTGTTTTTGTTTAAATCTTGTCAAAGTTGACTGCACTCATATCATAGAAAAAAGACCCAAGGTCTAGCTAGGACCAAGGAGCAGGACCGGAGCACAGAACGTATTAAATTATTTGTATTAGTACAGAATGACTAACGTTTCGACGCCCATGCGTCTTCTTCAGGGTCCTTTCTACTGCACTCATATCATATTTGTGTCCACTCGATTGAAATCTCAGCCCTTTTTCCTCAATTTAAGAACTGACTGCATGATACTGGATGTTACAGTGGAATTTAAAACAGAATTGCAATGGAAGGAAAATTAACATAATAGCGGAAGTTGTTCGTTCAGGAATATAGTAGTTCAGGATATTAGTAGTTTATTAGTTGGAAACCAACTAATTTAGTAATTGTGTCTATTTATTAAGTAATATGCATATATATATATTTATATATATATATATATACACTCACCTAAAGGATTATTAGGAACACTATACTAATACTGTGTTTGACCCCCTTTCGCCTTCAGAACTGCCTTAATTCTACGTGGCATTGATTCAACAAGGTGCTGAAAGCATTCTTTAGACATGTTGGCCCATATTGATAGGATAGCATCTTGCAGTTTATGGAGATTTGTGGGATGCACATCCAGGGCACGAAGCTCCCGTTCCACCACATCCCAAATATGCTCTATTGGGTTGAGATCTGGTCACTGTGGGGGCCATTTTAGTACAGTGAACTCATTGTCATGTTCAAGAAACCAATTTGAAATGATTCTAGCTTTGTGACATGGTGCATTATCCTGCTGGAAATAGCCATCAGAGGATGGGTACATGGTGGCCAAAAAGGGATGGACATGGTCAGAAACAATGCTCAGTTAGGCCGTGGCATTTAAACGATGCCCAATTGGCACTAAGGGGCCTAAAGTGTGCCAAGAAAACATCCCCCACACCATTACACCACCACCACCAGCCTGCACAGTGGTAACAAGGCATGATGGATCCATGTTCTCATTCTGTTTACGCCAAATTCTGACTCTACCATCTGAATGTCTCAACAGAAATCGAGACTCATCAGACTAGGCAACATTTTTCCAGTCTTCAACTGTCCAATTTTGGTGAGCTCTTGCAAATTGTAGCCTCTTTTTCCTATTTGTAGTGGAGATGAGTGGTACCCGGTGGAGTCTTCTGCTGTTGTAGCCCATCCGCCTCAAGGTTGTGCGTGTTGTGGCTTCACAAATGCTTTGCTGCATACCTCGGTTGTAACGAGTGGTTAATTCAGTCAAAGTTGCTCTTCTATCAGCTTGAATCAGTCGGCCCATTCTCCTCTGACCTCTAGCATCAACAAGGCATTTTCGCCCACAGGACTGCCGCATACTGGATGTTTTTCCCTTTTCACGCCATTCTTTGTAAACCCTAGAAATGGCTGTGCGTGAAAATCCCAGTAACTGAGCAGATTGTGAAATACTCAGACCGGCCCGTCTGGCACCAACAACCATGCCACGCTCGAAATTGCTTAAATCACCTTTCTTTCCCATTCTGACATTCAGTTTGGAGTTCAGGAGATTGTCTTGACCAGGACCACACCCCTAAATGCATTGAAGCAACTGCCATCTGATTGGTTAATTAGATAATTGCATTAATGAGAAATTAAAACAGGTGTTCCTAATAATCCTTTAGGTGAGTGCATATATATATATATATATAAAATGTCATATATTTTATGTTTAATCTGTCCACATCTATCTATTTATTAATACGATTCGATGGTAACACTTTAGATTAGGGAACACATATTAACTCTTAACTGAGTTTTTCCTCAATAAACCCTTAATTGCTGCTTATTAATGGTAAGTAAGGTAGTTGTTGTAATGGTTAAGTTTATGTGTTTGGTAAGATTAAGGGAAGTAGAATAAGGTCATGCAAGTTATGGCATTAATATGTGCTTTATAAGTACTAATAAACAGTCAATATGCTAGTAATATGCATGCTATTGAACAACTAGTGAATTGTGTTCCCTATATATCTAAATTATTACAAATTCAATTCATATTATTTGATTATTATATGATTCTTCTAACATTGTTGCGCTTCATTATTTTATTCATCATCAAAAAATAGGAAAACATAGTTTTTACAAACTAAAGACCTTTAGGGTTTTTTTTATTATAAAATATGTGCTACTGTTTGCTAGACCTACTGTATGAGTTCAGTTCGGGCTCTGAATCAAAACCCACAGGTGTGGAGAGAAACGCTTGTCAATAATACGCTTGCCACAGAAACAGGATGTTTAAAAGAGGAGGTTTTTGTATGAGTCAGAGGTGATTGTGAACACTGTGTAATATGCTGCACAGAAATACACTGCACTGTCATTCAGTCTGAGGCTGTTGATAGACAAAGTGCCATTTTTCTTTGCATCTCCCTCCAGTTTGATCTTGTTTTCAAATTCAGACTCTTTATTCTCACTATAATAAAGATATCCCATTAACTTGAGGCCTGACGTGTCCTGACTTTGTTTGTACCACAGGATTTGGTCATAGTTCGGTATTTTGTGAGCACATATGATCACAGCAGATTCATCTTGATTCTTGATGAGGTTATCTGGCGTCTGATCCACAGTTTTACCAAGACATGCAGCTGTGGAGAAAGAAAAAACGGTGTATAACCGTGTAAATCAATGAAAAACAGTGTACAGTGATGTTTAGGCTAAAATATCAGACTTTTTTTCTGTAAAGTGCACTTTTGTTTGTTGTTATTACCTGTAAACATCATTACAGAAACGCTAAGGAACGTGTTCATCATGGCTTCTTTCACCAAGCTCTTCTGCCTGAGGAAGTGATGTCAGCTATAGTTCTCAGCTGGCGGGTCATGACACGAAGATCAGTCACAGGTCTTTGATCTGAAATATTCCTTATTAATTGTTTCGGCTTATCTCAGCTGTTCTGTCATGCATTATATTGCTTGTCTCAGACTGCCACCTGTTGACTAACACTGTCATTAATATTTCATAAACTGGATGTTTTTGTACAGGTTTCTGCAGACTTTCACACACTGTGTTGACTCACTGAACAGAAATATATGGCACCGTCTTCCGGCTCTAGATCTTTCACTGTGAGAGATCCACTTTCAGCATCACTTTTATGAGCTTCAAATTTATTCTCATCAACATCTCCAAATTCTGGCTGTCCTTGAGCGGTAGAGATCACTACGAGTCTCATAGTCTCTCCGGGAAGCTGGCGGTACCAGTACATCACATAGTAAGCTGCTCCCTTAGTGTGTGTGCAGTTCAGAACTGCAGAACTCTTTTTTACTCTCCAAAGAAAAGGCTCTTGAACAACATCACTATCACCTGCAGTGCCTGTGAATATTAAAGGAAAAGTGCATAGTAAACGATTATAGTTCAGTATAGTTCAGAGATAATATTAGCATATTTTAAATACCTTGGCAGTGCAGTAACAGAATTAGTGAAATAAAGATTGTAATCATGTTCAGAATTGATGCAGCAAACAGTAGACTGAGTCCTGAGCTTGATGAGTCAAACTTTTCTGTTATACAGGATGTGACATCATAGGTTATAACAGTCATGAGTAAAGAAAAATGAATGAGAAATATGATCATCTTTACTCAGAAAGAGACCAAAGTTTGATGGTTAATAATAGTACAGTGGAAAAAAAGTTACCCTTCGAAGACATAATATATATAGCGCAGAAATACATCGCACTGTCACTCAGAGCAAGATTTTGATTTTTAAGGATCCATTCTTGGTTCCGTCACCATTCAAACTGGTTTTTACCCTAAAATTGTCCTCTGGAAAATAATTTGTATTCCAGATATATCCCAGTAATGTAAATTCATGTCCACGTGTTTGTTTGTACCAGAAGATCATAGTGTATGATGTGATGCTGTGTGTGCAGACAAATTCTGCAGAATCTCTCGGTTTTAATTAGATTTGAGGGACTTTGTTGAACAAAAGAAGCAAAAATAGTAAATGGTGTAAGAGCACATTGCATTACTGAACAACTCCCTTTAAATATTGTATATGATCAAATATTTACCTGAAAGAGGACTCTGGTCATGTTGATATAGACTGGAGAAATATTGTAAGTGAAATAAAATTCTAGCATGGACCCGCAGCGCCTCCTTCCCACAGGTTTTGCAATTGCTGCAATTTCCTGCAAGTTTAGGACTTTAAATGATATAATGCTTGTCTCCATCTTTGTTAATCAATGCTTGAATCAGTGAAAACATGGACACATATAACATGAACTGAGATATTCTAGTGAATAAATGATTCAAATATAGGCTACTATATCTATGTTGACGTAAACAGAGCTTGACCTTAATAAATAATTAAGCGGGTGATTTAATCATAATTTTGTACCATATTTCCTTCTTTTTGGTGGTTAATTGGTTTTGTGAATATGCGCAAATGTGTTCTTTAGCGTTTAACAATATACGCTATTATTATTATTATGTGATAATAGTTTGCCATTAGTTATAATATATATTAATATAGTTATAATAATAATAATTAATATTAATAATAATAATAATTCATCACATTTATATAGCGCTTTTCTGGACACTCAAAGCGCTTCACATAGAAGGGGGAATCTCCTCAACCACCACCAATCCTGTTATGCTATTGGAACCTTATATATATTATTTTAACATGTTATGTGTGCAATTCTAATCTCTTCTATTAAATTCTTTGCTCTGCTGTTCTCGGTTCAGTGAAAATCAAGCTTCACTTTAAACATTGCTACAAGTGCCACTTGCCTTTAGTTGCAGATTAAAGGTAAATATGGAACTTCTTAAAAAAATCTATTTTTATTAGTTATTTTATTAGTATTAGTTATTGTGGAAGTTTGGGGGCCATTTTATATTTTGGGTCCAATGAGCTTCATAACACAGTAGGGTTTTTGTGTGAGTCAGAGGTGATTGTGAACACTGTGTAATATGCTGCACAGAAATACACTGCGCTGTCATTCAGTCTGAGGCTGTTGATAGTCAGAGTGCCATTATTTCTTCCATCTCCACTCAGTTTGATCTTGTCTTTAAATTCAATCTCTTTGTTCTCATATTTAACATTAAGGAATCCCATGAGCCGAAGGTCCCCGATGCTCTGGCTTTGTTTGTACCACTGTATGACATCATAGCTTTGTACTTTGTGTGAACATTTGATCTCTGCAAATTCATCTTGTTTCTTCAGGAGATCAGGAGGAGTCTGGACAACACTTTCACCAAGAACGGTCACTGTAGAGAAATAAATGAATAAACAATATAAAGCTGTGAGGAGCTCATATATCTCAGTGACACAAAGTCTAAGCAACACACTAGACTGAAAAGAGTTACCTGCGAGACACAGGACCAGGACAGAAACACGGTGAGCATTACTCATGTCGTCTCTCTCTCTGATGATCGACTCTACGGTGAATTAAATGCAGGCGATGAAGGAAGTGATGTCATCTAGGCTTTGTTTTCTCTATGCATTTCTGAATTCAGATCCACATACTCTTATTATTTCTGCCATAGAGAGATATGGTGCACATAGCATGAGTAGTATATACTAGTATCTTAAATGGATAGGAAAAGCATTAGCTTTCACTCCACAAGATATTGTATGTCAGACTGCTGTTTAACTGTACCAGAGCGCCGCCTTTTGGATGGTATATTGATATGATCTGTACAAGGTGTTTTTGTACATCTGCCTTCAGTGTTTGACACACTGTGTTTGCTCACTGAACAGAAATATATGGCACTATCATCTGGCTGTGCGTTCCTCACAGTGAGAGATCCGCTCTCAGGAACACTTTTATGAGCTTCAAATTTAGTTTGATCAGAATCTCCAAAGTCTGGTTCCCCATAGCTTGTTGTGAACACTATGAGTCTGAAACTCTCTCCTTTTCGCTGCTGGTACCAGTACATCTGATTATAGTCCAGACCCTTATTGTGTGAGCAGTTTATCTGGGCAGATTTCCCCTCGAGAGTCCAAACACTGCCAGGCTGGGAAACACCATCTCCACTTGAAGCACCTGCAAAATATGCTGAATGATTATTTCTGTATCAACACATAGTTATGCTATTGTATTATTTGACATTGTAATGCTCTGCATAAATAAACTGTACATTGACTCCAACACAGTGACAGGATTAGCAGAACAATGATCATGTTCAGCGATGGCTAGGAGTGCATTGAATCGTGGTCTTGAGAGGATAATACAGGATATATATTTATATGAACAAGCTGCAGATTTGTAGAGTCACATCGCCCCCTGTTGATCACTGTCATTATTAGCGGAAGCTGTTCTTGATGAACTCTTGTTAAAGTTCACTTCACTGTTCTGTGTGACCGAGCCGAGATACACGGCACTATCATCTGACTCCACATTGTTCACAGTCAGAGATCCTCTCTCGGGAACTGGTTTATTGGCTGTGAATTTGACTGGATCAGAATCTCCATAGTCTGGATCGCTCACAGAACTTGTGAACACAATAAGAGTCATAGTTTGTCCTCGCCGTTGTCGATACCAGTACATCTGAGTGAATGTAAAATCCTTTTTGTGTGTGCAGTTCATTTGAGCAGAACTCCCCTTCACTGCCATTAAAACACCTGGACTTTGTGAAACATCACTGGTACCTGCAAATGAAACAGAGAGAAAAATATAAATAAATGTATTTCTGAATATTTCAAGAAGTTATTATTCTAATATGATCGTGAGTACCTTGGCTCCAGTGACAGAATGAACAGAATAATGCTCCTCATCATGTCACGGTGAGGCTGGATGAGTTAAAGTCGATATCAAGCGGAAGTTGCGATGGGCTTTTCTTCTCTATTGTGACGTATATCCATATGAGACGGCTTCTCAAACAAGAAGAAGAGACTTGTGGGGAGGGACGTGATTTTGTCCATCGGGAGTCCTCACGCTGAATAACACATCAGAGAAGACAAGAGATGTTGCAAGAGGGAGGGAAAGTTATTTCGATTATGAGAGCACATGAATTAAAAAAAAGAAAAAAGATGTGCACAGATAAATCAATCAATCAATTTTTTATAAATACTGCGATATTCCATAAAAAACAATGTGTGACTCTTTTGATTTCATGGGGACTTTAAATTATAATCTTCTGTGAATGTATTTGTTGATACAGGAAGTGACATCATGATCATGGTAGTGGTGATCTCAGGGAGGGGCATAATTCAGTCTTTAAGAATTAGCTTCAGCTCCTGAATTGCGATGTAAATTGAATTAAGCAACACTTTAAGCAACACTTACAGGTATTGTGTTTAGTCTGGCACTGAATCAGAATCCACAGGTGTGAAGAGGAACGTGAATAAAAACTCTTGCCACAGAAACAGGACGTTTAAAAGAGGAGGTTTTTGTGTGAGTCAGAGGTGATTGTGAACACTGTGTAATATGCTGCACAGAAATACACTGCGCTGTCATTCAGTCTGAGGCTGTTGATAGTCAGAGTGCCATTTTTATCTCCATCTCCCTCCAGTTTGATCTTGTTTGTGAATTCAGTCTCTTTAGTTTCATCCTTATAAGAAAGGTATCCCATTAACTTGAGTCCCGACGTGTCCTGACTTTGTTTGTACCATAATATTCGGTAATAGTTCGGTATTTTGTGAGCACATATGATCACAGCAGATTCATCTTGATTCTTGATGAGGTTATCTGGCGTCTGATCCACAGTTTTACCAAGACATGCAGCTGTGGAGAAAGAAAGTGTTTGTTTATAATCATGTTTAGGCTCAAATAATCTGTACATTGTGTAAGTAAAGATTTAACAAGGTCATATTTGTTTATTTTTACCTGTCAACATCAATAGAGATACAGATACACTAAGGAACGTGTTCATCATTGGTTTCATCAAGTGTTTCTGCTGTGAATCAAAGGCACATGCAGGAGGAAGTGATGTCAGCTATATTAGTTCCTGTAACCTGAGAGAAAAGAGTAATAACATGAGGACAATATTGATTCAGTTTACACAGAAAAAGTTGTGCATAATTAGCAGGACTGATATGCAAATCACAATGATAATGTAGTCCATGTATTATATTAACTTTTTAAAACATCACTTTATGCAAACAGATTCATTTTGCATTGCAAATATGCTGAATGTTTTTTTAAACACACTGCCCTCTGCCTGTCGATAGTTGTCTCTTTTAAAACTCTTAAAAACTAGTCTACAATTTCCCTTACAGTTTGATACATTGTTCTCGCTAAGTGAACAGAAATACTATATATTCAGAGATTTTGAAGTCTGAGATCCACTGTCAGGAGTGGATCGGCCCAACATTTGAATTGACTGTTTTATTGGCCAAACATTTCAAAAAAAAATTAGAATCTCCACATTCTGGAGGTGTGTGTGTGCGCGTGTGTGTGTGTGTGTGTGTGTGTGTGTGTGTGTGTGTGTGTGTGTGTGTGTGTGTGTGTGTGTGTGTGTGCGCGCGCGAGTGTGCGTGCGTGCGTGCGTGCGTGTGTGCGTGTGTGTGTGTGTGTGTGTGTGTGTGTGTGTGTGTGTGTGTGTGTGTGTGTGTGTGTGTGTGTGTGTGTGTGTGTGTGCGTGCGTGCGTGCATGTCCCTGGTGAACCCTACATTATAGGGAAAAATGTTCCCACAAACATGGCGATATTCGAAATCCTTGTCCTTGTGGAGACATTTTTGGCCCCAATGAGTAAAACAGCTTATAAACCATACTAAGTAAAACTAATGTTTTTCTGCATTTAAATTTTTTTTCATTGGAAAATGTAAAAATGCAGAATGATTCTGTGATGGTAGGTTTAATTTTAGGGGATATAATATACAGTTTGTACAGTATAAAAATCATTATGTCTATGGAGACTTCCCATAAAACACGAAAACAGAACATGATGATGTTAAACATGAACAAAATTTCCATTGGATCTACAGTTGTAGATATTGCAACACTTTTGCATTAAGAAACATTAGTTTACACGTGTGAATGTAATCTTAAATCAGTTGATGGTAAATGTTGGCAGGAAATAAAACCACCTCCATCTGGAGGAGAAACACAACTCGGTTCCATCTAATCTCAGAAGAACTTTTAAATGAGTAAATTAACATTGAATTCTTTAAATTACACAACAAAATATCCCATTAATGTTCATCTCTGGTCCATGTTCAGTGTTGTGTCGAACCTCAAGCTCTGCAGAACCAGTTGATCAACAGTATAGACGTTTACATTTCTGACAACACACTCTTTTACAAACTAAAGGTTGAAGTTATTTTCTGTGATAATGAAGCATGTAATAAATGCTGTCAATAACTTCTATTCAACCCATAATACTCCTAATTGTTTCGGCTTATCTCAGCTGTTGTCATGCATTATATTGCTTGTCTCAGACTGCCACCTGTTGACTAACACTGTCATTAATATTTCATAAACTGGATGTTTTTGTACAGGTTTCTGCAGACTTTCACACACTGTGTTCACTCACTGAACAGAAATATATGGCACCGTCTTCCGGCTCTAGATCTTTCACTGTGAGAGATCCACTTTCAGCATCACTTTTATGAGCTTCAAATTTATTCTCATCAACATCTCCAAATTCTGGCTTTGAGTTAGCGACGGTGAATACTATAAGCCTCATAGTCTCTCCGGGACGCTGGCGGTACCAGTACATCTGGTAGAATGAAATGCCCTTCTTGTGTGAGCAGTTCATATCAGCAGAACTCGCCTTTGGTTTCCAAAGAATTTTAGGCTCTTGAACAACATCATCCCCACCCAAAGTGCCTGTGGAAAAAATGTAAATACATTTGTAAGATTATAAGGTTATTGTTTCAGTTGCAATGGAGACATTGTTAAAGAGTGCCACACACCTTGGCTCCAGCGCAGGAACAGAATCAGGGAAATAATGTTTCTAGTCATGTTGAGTTTTGGTGCAGCGCACAGTGAGTCCCAACCTTTCAAATGATTCAAACTCGAGCTGCTGTTGAACAGGATATGACATCATAGGTTGTATCAGTAATGAACAAAACTGCATGAACATGGAATATCTATCTATAAATTACAAGTCTGTCTGTCTGTCTGTCTGTTAATCGAATATCTCTCGAACCGTTAGTCTGATGGATTTCTAACTTGACAGGTGTCTTGCTACGAGCACGAGTAAGTGCAGTGCCGAGTTTGACGTTGTTTGGATTATAAATGCAAAAGATATCGTTAAATATTTCAGTAAAAGCAGCACACATTGAAGTTGTGGTTTAAAAATAAACATTCTGTCAGCTAAACATTGTCAGCTACACTGTTTACTTCTGAAGTAAAAAAGTAGCGATTCTTTTCGAAGTTGTTATTATACATTTATTACAATGCAATTATACGTTTATTACAATGTAATTATACATTTATTACAGTGTTATTATACGTTTATTTCAATGTAATTATACGTTTTTTTACAATGTAATTATACATTTATTGCAGTGCTATTATACGTTTATACAATGTAATTATACGTTTATTACAATGTAATTATACATTTATTACAGTGTTATACATTTGTTACAATGTAATTATACATTTATTACAGTGTTATACATTTATTACAATGTAATTATACATTTATTATAGTTTTATTATACATTTGTTACATTATTATTATTATACATTTGGTACATTATTTTGTACATTGTTCTTTTTGAAAAAAGTAACTATTCTTTTCTGAAAAAGTAGCGATTCTTTTTGAAAAAAGTAATGTAAATGTAATTATACATTTGTTACAGTCTTATTATACATTTATTACAATGTAATTATACATTTAATACAATGTAATTATACGTTTATTACAATGTAACTATACATAGTTTAAAAACAATTTATAGAACTATGAAAAACTGTATATAATTATGAAAAAGTAGTGATTCATTTTTGAAAAAATAGCGATTCTTTTTGAAAAAGTAGTGATTCTTTTTTGGAAAAGTAGTGATTCTTTTTTGAAAAAGTAGCGATTCACTTTCGAAAAAGTAGCGATTCTTTTTTTTTAAAGAATCGATTCACTTGAAAAAGTAGCTATTCATTTTTGAAAAAGTATCGATTCTTTTTTGAAAAAGTATCGATTCATTTTTTTTAAAGTATCGATTCATTTTTGAAAAAGTATCGATTCACTTTTTAAAAAGTAGCGATTCTTTTTGAAAAAGTATCGATTCACTTTTGAAAAAGTAGCGATTATTTTTGAAAAAGTATCGGTTCTTTTCAGAAAAAGTAGCGATTCAATTTTGAAAAAGTAGGGATTCTTTTTTTGAAAAAGTATCGGTTCTTTTCGGAAAAAGTAGCGATTCAATTTTGAAAAAGTAGCGATTCTTTTTGAAAAAGTAGCGATTCTTTTTTTTAAAAATAGCGAATCACTTTTGAAAAAGCAGCGATTCAATTTTGAAAAAGTAGCGATTCTTTTTGAAAAAGTAGCGATTCTTTTTTGAAAAAATAGCGAATCACTTTTGAAAAAGCAGCGATTCTTTTTTTTTTTGAAAAAGTATCGATTCACTTGAAAAAGTAGCAATTCGTTTTTGAAAAAGTAGCGATTCACTTTTGAAAAAGTAGCGATTCTTTTTGGAAAAGTAGCGATTCACTTTTGAAAAAGTAGCGATTTTTTGGGAAAAAGTAGCGATTCACTTTTGAAAAAGTAGCGATTCTTTTTTTGAAAAAGTAGCAATTCTTTTTTTTGAAAAAGTAGCGATTCATTTTTGAAAAAGTAGCGATTCATTTTTGAAAAAGTAGCGATTCACTTTTGAAAAAGTAGCGATATTTTTTTTTTAAGTAGCGATTCTTTTTTGAAAAAGTAGCGATTCTTTTTTGAAAAAGTAACGATTCATTTTTGAAAAAGTAGCGATTCATCTTTGAAAAAGTAGCGATTTAACTGAATCTGTAAGTCAGCTACACTGTTTAATTCTGAATATTTTATTCTGGTGCGCTTAACTTTATCGTTTAGGCTCCTGTGTAATAGTAGCCTAGGCTATTCAGCAACTCAAACATACCAAAACAACAATTACTAAAAACACACAAAAACTGATTTTGCACAGGCATTGCACTAGTGTATATTATTACTCAAAAATCTGATGATTTATACAATCTCAAGCTGTCTCTTACAAGTTTCAAGTTCAAGTAAATTTTAAGTATACTTTATGTAGTAAGTGTACTCGTAGTATACTTTTAATTGTACTGTGTTTCAGTACTTCTTGGGACTAAATTGGCCCACTTTTCAGTGTATAAAAGTATACTTTTACGTTTTTCGTTTGTACTGTAAACTACATGTGAATGTATACTGATAGTTTACTAGTCAAATACTTGTAGCACATTTTATAGTTTGTGAAAGTACACTTTGAAGTATAGTAGTTTAGTAGTTTTATACTGCAAGTATACTTGTACGGTTTCTTTAAGTGAACTTAACATCATACTTATAGTTTACTATTTATAAATATTTTTTGCACTTTAAGTATACTACTTTAACCCTCTGGGGTCCTTCATTTCAGAGTCACACTCAGGACCTTCGGGTCCAAATGGGGCGGAAGGGTGGGATTAATATTTATTTTTAAAAAATCATCATATATTTTTTTTTTTACTTGTTTTTTATAATATTTTTTCTTTTCTTTTTTGGTGTTTTGAGATAATTTCAAAAATAAAAATGATTTATAATTAATATTAATGCAATAATTATGACCCATTTTTCCCCATTGAATATAATAGAAAAAAAAAAATAAAAAATATATATATATATATATATATATATATATATATATATATATATATATATATATATATATATATATATATATATATTTTTTTTTTTTTTTTAAGCTGTATTTCATTTTAGAGTCAAGCCGCCTCATGAAAGCAATTTTTGAAATGAGATGGATGCAATCTGGTGGACAAACTGAGCATTTGAAAAATTCAAAACCCATATGTAATCTGAATTTATTAGTGTATGTGTATAAAAGTGTGTTTGTGTGTGTGTGTGTGTGTGTGTGTGTGTGTGTGTGTGTGTGTGTGTGTGTGTGTGTGTGTGTGTGTGTGTGTGTGTGTGTGTGTGTGTGTGTGTGTGTGTGTGTGTGTGTGTGTGTGTGTGGATGTGTCTGTTTTGCACTCTTGGTGTTTTATAGATTCACCCCTTCACTGTTGTGTGCTTTTTTTCTGGATTGTGGCTGATTTGTAGCTTGTACGCACAAAAAAACTCTATTTTCACATTTTTGCCAATTTCCCATTCATTTCCTATGCGGGTCCATTTGGACCCGAAGGTCCTGAGTGTGACTATTTTTTTTACAACCACTTAGACTATTCAAATCCTGTCCCCAATTTTTGTTGGGTGTTCATATACCAAGTACCAACAAAGTCACCAAATTTCGGACCATTCCGATAAAGCTATGATTTTTAAAAAAAAAATATTTAAATGCTTCGGGTCCATTTGGGCCGAAGGACCCCAGAGGGTTAATACATGCTAATCCAGAATCAAATACAGAGGATATTTTCTTTAGCGGCATCATATTATTGCTTATTAATGAGTCGAGCCACAAATATACTGTAGTTAGAAAGCTTAGCCTGGATCTTTTTTCTGATAAACCACTAGAGTAACTGCCAGGTTTCTGTATGAGACAGAGGGAGTTTAGATCAGTGTGTAATATGCTGCACAGAAATACACTGCACTGTCATTCAGCGTGAGCTTCCTGATAGTCAGAGTGCCATTCTTCCTTCCATTTCCCTTCAGAATAATCTTGTTGCTGAATTCCTCCTCTTTGTTGTCAGTTTCACCATTAAGGTTTCCCATTAGTTTAAGTCCCATGGTGCCCTGGATCTGTTTGTACCACATAATTTGGAAATAACTTGCTATATTGTGTGTACATATAAACACAGCAGATTCATCTGTGTCCTTTATGGATTCAGTAGGAGTCTGGTTAACAGTGTTACCAAGAGTAGAAGCTGTGAAGAGACAGATAAATGACAGATTTAATGCTGAAGTGTCAAAAAAATAAGATCTATACACAGTCGTTGTGACAAAAATCAACAAACACTTGATGAAAGACACTAATACCTGTGAGCCACATAAATGTGACAGAGAAACTCATGCAAATATTATTCATGCTGAAGCTTGTGTGACTCTGCTGTGAGTGAATACAGTTGATGAAATGAATGAAGGATGGAGGATGTGAGTGATGTCACCGAGGGAATTTCTGACAACTCAAGTTCATACAAACTATATCCAGCCAGGTCTTCAGTTACTAAATATGCCGACAATGATATTTGTATACTCTGTAATGATATAGCCTATAGTGAGGAATTTCTGGCTCATTATTTTGTGATTGTGAACTGTGTAATTATCAGCGTGAATGTCACATGTTTTTACTCTGACAACATTTTATTTGAATCAAATCAAATTGAATTAATTAATTAATTAAATTGCGCACTTAAAACCAAGGGTGTATTCACACCTGCCTTGTTTGGTTCGATTGAATCGAACTCTAGTTCGTTTCCCCCCTTGGTGCGGACCTTTTGGGCAGGTGTGAATACAGCAATCGAACTCAGGTGCGGACCAAACAACCGAACCGAGACCCCGCTGAAGAGGTGGTCTCGGTACGGTTCCAAACGAACTCTGGTACGGTTCGTTTACGGTGTGAACATGAACCGACCCAATTGCAAGAAAGCACTGCGCCTTTGAGTTAACAGGCTTCCGTAGTCACCGGAGATTTTAGCATAATGGTTTGTGTTATTGTTGTTTAAGTGCGAAAGAGAATTCCATTCCGGCGCGCTGTCTGGCCACACGATACTGTTGCGCGTCTTTCTGCGCGTCGTGTGTGCATCATTGGAATGAATGAATGAATGAATGAATGAATGAATGAATGAATGAGTGTGTGCATCAGGACATTCACATACAGAGGGTTCTCTTTAGTCTAATCGCGTATAGATGCAAAAAAAAAAAAGCTTTTGCAGTTCATATAATGTAACGATAGTTA